AGAAAATAAAAAACATTAGCGGGATTTCCCATTAGTTACTTTCAGTTTCAGTTTGTGAAAATTAGTAATATGTATTAAGTAAAACATCACCAAAGTGAGTCTAAATATAGAATAGAAAATTTAGAAAATTCAAACAAATAAATAAATTATTCTTTATGTAGAAGAAAAATGTTTACAATTTACCTCAAGTTCGACCTAAAGCCAACGAACAAAAATGCCACTGTAGTTTCAATCAGGTTAGAATAAGCACCAATAATTAATTTCAAAGTTATTAAGTTATTACAGCCTAGAATTGTTGTGTTTTATTTATGTCGTTTATTGTCGGTGATTCGAAATTTTGATATATATGTTATGGTATAAATAAATAAATAAATAAATAAATAAATAAATAAATAAATAAATAAATAAATAAATAAATAAATAAATAAATAAATATATATATATATATATATATATATATATATATATATATATATATATATATATATATATATATATATATATATATATATATATATATATATATATATATTTATTTATTTATTTATTTATTTATTTATATATATATATATATATACAATTATATATATAATATGACACAAAAGCCACTTATAAACAACATAAGAACAGTGGCGGAACTAGAAAAAAAGGGCCACCCCGCAAAATATTTTTTAAGGCCCCCTATATATATATATATATATATATATATATATATATATATATATATATATATATATATATATATATATATATATATATATAAACACAAGATACGAACGTAGTATACTCATTTCGGGCCTATTAAAACACATTGTTTTAAAAAATACATAATACTTTTATTTTCAATTCTAACAAATTACAATAACATGTCATGTGTTTAAGTGCATTAATCTGTTTTTCAAATCTGTGTGTCACTTTTGATGTCGGCCGTATAGCTTGCCATACGCAAGCCGGTCAAAAGTAGCCTATATGAAACATGAAAGCTTTGTATGTGTAATGGTTTCTCGTGTTATATTTGTTTTTATGTTGTTTTTTTTTTAATTTATATTATTTTTTTTAAAATTCCTTTTTAAAGGAAAAGTCATGGAAGTGGTTTGAATGTTTGTTTATCTTGCACACTAATGCTTATGTAGATTTTTTTTTCTTTTACGCAACAGCGTGTGTTAGCTACTGTAGAACATCACTACAGTAGTAGTTTTTTTTTTACAAAACCATAATTAAGGTGCATGAAAATGTAATTTTGAAATACAAAGTCATTGCTTTTTGGTCGGATTTTGGGCCCCCAAACGGCCTGCCCCCCCCCCATATACAATTATCAATTTTGGTTTTCCCGCTTGCGATAAAAAAAGCCTGTTAGAGCTTTTTTTTTAAATAACATATCTAAAAAGGTAAGAAAATTTTAATTACAGGATAGTATTTAATAATGCGACAATATTCTTTAAATATGTAATAATGAATTAATTTTTAAATATCTACAAATAAAAGGAAAGTGTGAATCGATGTGTTATGTGTATAATACTTTTACTGAAATTAAAACCTAAACCTAAACCTAAACCTAAACCTAAACCTAAACCTAAACCTAAACCTAAACCTAAACCTAAACCTAAACCTAAACCTAAACCTAAACCTAAACCTAAACCTAAACCTAAACCTAAACCTAAACCTAAACCTAAACCTAAACCTAAACCTAAACCTAAACCTAAACCTAAACCTAAACCTAAACCTAAACCTAAACCTAAACCAAAACCTAAACCTAAACCTAAACCTAAACCTAAACCTAAACCTAAACCTAAACCTAAACCTAAACCTAAACCTAAACCTAAACCTAAACCTAAACCTAAACCTAAACCTAAACCTAAACCTTAACCTAAACCTAAACCTAAACCTAAACCTCAACCTCAACCTCAACCTCAACCTAAACCTAAACCTAAAACTAAACTTAAACTTAAACCTAAACCTAAACCTAAACCTAACCCTAACCCTAACCCTAGCCCTAGCCCTAACTGTAACCCTAACTCCAACCCTGTCCGGGGATGGTTGGTAATTGTGACGGTAAAACCGTTTAGGCTAGCTCCATTTTATTCTTTCACCACCCTCTACCTGCTCTATAACTTCCCCCCCCCCCCTCTACGGCAACGTTCATTCTTACCTTTCGTCCCCCTCGCAAGCTAGATTGTCCACGTGACACACCGCCAATTTTAATGCATAAAAGGGTATGCAACAAAGAAATCACGCACTCTTCCAGCACTGAGCTCAGCTGGTGGTGTTGCACGCGGCGTTTGGGCCGTCGGCCCTACTCCTACGTGCATGATTTTGTATTATCTATTTTAGCTCATTTTATAATAACTACATTGTTTCTAACCCATAAATATATGTGTAATTCATATTTTTAAGTTTTAAAAGTATAATAAATAAAATTTTACTATTGCAGTAACTGTGTTTTTAAGTAACTTATAGTTATTACTTTACTACTGGCCGTAAACTGCGGGCATTGAATTGACCCGTAGTCATCGGACCTGATATTGTATTTGATACACAGGCCGTAAACCCTTGCCAGAGTCAAGAGATCATCGGACCAGGTTGTTATTACTTTAAGGCTGTAAACTGCGCACATTGAATTGTAGCGTAGTCATCAGACCTTCAGCTCGCCACTATTAAGTTTACTTATTACTATTACTGCATTAGCTGCTGAAACTTTATTATTACTTGACCCTGTCCGTGACTTATTTCACGTGACACTTGAATACATACTTAAAAATACATTTACTATATTCCCGGTAGAGAAGCGGCTCAGGCCCTCCTACCGTTTGAATCACGCATTTTACTGATTATCCCAATTAATACGCTACCAATATTACTACATTTTTTTCTCTTTACCGTTAACATTATGTTTGCGTTTTTGTGTGTGTTTTGGTTGGTTGTAGTGAATGCTGATTACTAAACACACAAGTTATGGTCCTTTACAGATACGTTTTTCAAAGAGGCCAGTGCAGGGCTAGTACTTTACATTAGTTTTTGAGATGTCGGAAATAGCGTAAATTAGTTCAACGGTCCGTTCAACGGAAATAACTCAAAATTTGAGAGAAGGTAGAGAATTAGATCTCTTACTTACAAGTGAAATTTCATTCATCTATCTGAAATATTACTCAAGTAATAGGCTTTTGAAAAATTCAAATTGAAAAAAGTACCACTTTCGGTAATCGGAAATCGCTCGAAAGTTGATACGGATCTACGATTTTGATAAAATAGTTATATATAAAATTTCATCAACCTAGCTGTAACGGTACTCAAGTTATCGTGTTTACACACACACACATACACACAGACACACAGACACACAGACATATGGACAATATTGCAAAATTATGTTTTTCAGTATCAGTGAGGTGTAAAACGTCGAGATTTGTAAAAAATCTCGATTTTTTTTTTTGCACAATTACAAGACTTTATCTCAGTAGCGTACGCAGGGGGAGCAGGGGGAGCAACCGCTCCCCCTCTGGCCATTTTCAGCAAAGTGGCGCCTTTTTGGAAACTTTTTAAACTCAAAGTTTTAAACAATAATTGTTAAAAAATATTTTTGTTCGGCACATCTATGTAAATCACAAGATTTCTTTTCATGCAGCAATTAAGCACTATTGTACTAGTCTAGTAGTGTCTACGTTTACAACACGTATTAACAGCTGCATCAGTTTGCCATTCTAAAAATAACCATTACGATGCATTGAAATTTTAAAAAATCCTCTACCGGTAGTACCACTTGGCAAAAGGGGTGTTAAGTTTAAGGCAACTGTATAATGTATTTGCTTACGAATAATTGCATTAGAAAATGTTATACATAAAACTTCACACATAATTACTTTATATATACAGTTTGAATCGTATGATTAATTTTTGAAAATTACAATACAGAAACAAACAACTGATGTGGCACCTCTATTTAAATTTACTTATGGGCGAACTGCGTAGCAGTGGGGATATTTTGACACGGTCAACGTCATCACGATAAAGTAGTAGTATTCTTACAGTTTGGGCGATAGTGATTACGATTACAAATTATATGAAACAGTTACAACCCCTCTCCCCCATGGACCCCTCGGTAAAAAAAATTGTGTAATACTACTGCTACTTATTTAAATCTATTTCTGAATCAGTATACATGTGTAATAAATATGTATGTTTAGAACAGTCATCTAAAAACTGACGCTATGTTCACTCTGAGTTGGTTATCTCCCCCCCCCCCACACCTCACCACCACAATTGTGTAGAGCGACATTAATGTCACACCTAGGTATACACTGGGTGGGATAATTGACCTAAAGTGACCGGACAGTAAAAAGGTGTGTGATTAATACAGTGATCTAACCCATACCTATCACTATGTTAAAAAATAATCTTTAAGGAACACAAAGAAGCAGTAGTAAATTTAAAAAATATATTATCTGAACTAAAAGACCGATATTTAGTTAAATGTAGGCTGTTATTCCGAATGTTTATCTTTTTTATCGAAAACCGTGGTTTTATACCAACTCTGATTTCAAAAACTTTCATTATGATGTAATACTTTAGCATTTATGATGACGATATATTAAATTCTGATTATAGACAAAAACATTTTGTTAATACGAATAGCGTTAAATAATTTCATTACATTCTAAAGTAATTATTTATTTGTTTTGACATTTATAATTAAACGAGAAAAATGGCCCGTTGAGGAAGGATACAACGGGCGCTAGGTAGATAGTGCTGTCTATTTTCTCTAAACTAAAACCAAAACCAAAATCACCACCTAAATTCAATTTAACCGGAAACGAAAAAAATGACATTGAAAACGGAATTTTATCCAGAATCGTTACTTTAATTTATACAAAATATAGTCATAGGCATACCCCTGAACCATGCACCTAATTCATTCATGACAAAAGTCGCATTTAGAGTTTCTTTCAGGCAACTCTTCTTGGGAGGATGGGGCTCCGCCCCCCCCCCCCCCCCCACACCCCCCA